AAAAATAAAGAAATTGTGCTTTAAAAAAACATTCACCTGCTGTCATACACTCTCATTCTTGGCTTTGGGGCTAATTAGAGCAGATGCATTGCATACAAAATACATTGTTTCAATACATTTTATAAACAAATATTTCCCCAAATAAAATACTGAACATGACACTTAAAAAAAAAAAATTACCGCTTCTTCAGTGCGTCACATAAAGTTAAACGGGGCAGTGTGCTTTGATTTCTGTTCTTTGGTGACAGGCGGATGCTGGGCAGGTAAAGTCTTATTTTGAATCATAAATATCACAGCTGTCAGTTGGAATCATGTTTACATTAAAGCATGGGACTCACAAGAGCACGAAACAAAAGAAAAGTGCAGCTGAAGCGAGGAATGTCTTGCATATAGAGACGCAACACGTGTTTTCGCCATCATTTTAAAAAAGCCTTCAGTGTTTAAAATTATCATGAACTTTGACAAGTCCAGACATTGCAACAAATGGACGTTGGTTTCAATTTATCAGACAACACAAAATAAATTACCGTCTACAGATATGATGAGCAACAAATTATGAATGATTTCATCTTTAATCTCTCCCGAATCCAATCAGAAGCAAAGTTACTTTTCTTAAGGGAGACCATTAAATCTGTGCTTGCAATTAGTGATAGCATGCAGATCTTTAATTTCTGGTTAAATTTTTCTTCATTTAAAGAGATATAGTTGCTTTTTCTAGTTGTTTTTGTTTCTAGTCATAAAAAAACAGATTTTTCTTTTAAACCTGTAAGTGTTTTATCCAGGACATAAAAACCTGACCTGGCATTTACTCAGGCCTTGCAGTAGGAATGTTTTCTCCAGGCTGACCTCTGATCACGTGCAGACCCTCTCCCAAGAGGCAGAGCCTAACTAAAAGGCAACTGAGCTGCTTCCATGTTGCCACATGAACCTGAATCTGGACTGAGTTGCTCTCAGTAAAACGGATTTCCACGGATCAGGTGCCAAATTGCCAATATTCTGCCACATTTTAAAGCCGGTGACTGACTGTCACCCACCGCAGCGAGGGGAAGCTCTGTGGCTCACTCTGTCGCCTCTGTTTGCCCAGATGCTACGTCTGTGAAGCTGCATGTCTGCACAGGGTGTTCCCGTGCTTTGCAGTCAATGCATAATAAGAAGCAGTATAGATAATCAATGAAGGACGGTGCTCTTGTCAAGGCTAGAAAAGCCTGTGAAGAAGTACCAGCACAGCGCAGCATTACCAGACTTGGCATAAAATTTGATCAGGCTGTCTCATTATGAAAAAATTCAGGTTAAGGACTTGTATTATTTATATCTCTAGATTCATATAAATGCCCCCTTTTCAGCAGCGCCTGTTCCTCTAATCACTAATCACGTTGATGCAAATGAGGATGAAATTGGTGCACTCGGTTTCTGGACGTGAATTCTTCGCTCGGGTGCTTTTGTTTGGTGAGACGGTGTGTGCGTGTGTGCAAAGAAAAAGAGAGAAGGTCTTCAAGCGTCTCGCTTGTATGAGACACTTGTGTTGCAAACCGTATTTTACGCCGCATGTAGACTCAGACGCGAATTAACAGACAATACGACATGTCAAATCAGCGTGGCAGCCTGATTGGCTGACTGATTGAATCAGATCACATCGTGGAGAAAATTTAGCTCTGTGTGTGCATGCGTGCGTGTGTGCGTGCACGCGTGTGTGTGTGTGTGCGGACTGGGGAATACCCTTTCACTGGAACAGTCTGGAATCACGAGACTGTTGCCATGGCAACCCAAGAATGGGAATTTCTCTAGCAACAGACAGGATGGAGGGGAGATACTGGGAATTGTGGGAATGTCACCTCGACGACAGTGGGGGGATGACTGTAGCAGCGGCTGCTTCGTACGGTGGGAGAAGGAGTGAGTGGATGAGCAGGTGACTCTTAGAGGGTTATTGATTTTTTGTGTGTGTGTGTCTTTTTTCATCTTTTATAGCAGCGAGTTATGCAAAGACCAACATTCACCACTTTTAAATACATGAGTGTATTGTTTTCACGCTAAACTCCTGAAAGCGTGGTGTTCAGGTGAAGGCTAACACAGTTGAATTCGATCATCTTATGGAGTTAGGTAGGTTGTTATATACAGACGGGGAACAAATGAAGAACTCAACAACAAAATTATCAGAAAAGATATTTGTTTATTTAGTGTTTTGACCATGAAAGACCATGAATGATGATTTTTATTTGGGGGGGGTCTTCCAGAGGACTTCTGTCACTTTTGCTTCACCATCTGTTCAGAACTTTATATTCTCTCGCCTGTAAATAAGACAAAGCTAAAGAGGAGCTATGTTGCTAGTGCAGATTGTGGAACTGGAACCTGCTAGCTAGCACCTCTTTCTTGACGACATCACTTACGTCACAACAGATGGCAGCCTTGACTGATGTCTCTCAGCCACAAAAAAACCCACAAAACATTTCATGACTCTATGATCACCTGACCTTCCACGACGACCATCGCAGCTGACGACAAGCCCGAGCCGAGCATAATGAGTCAGTCCTACCATTCAGTGAACCCTCACGTGCAGCACGGAGGCTGGAAGAGATCATTCCCATCAGGGTAGAAGCGTTTCATCACAGGATAGAGGGGATCTCTCAGAACAACCTCGGATTGATTTGCTGTGACCTTTCAAGCGAAGGCAGTGGTTAATCAGACTTTTTCTGCCACACCTCAGTAACCCAAAAAACACACACACAGTGGGGGACACCCCACAGTCTGAGAAGCCATGTTAGCACGACTCATTTGCCACCCTTCTGTAAAAAAGGAGATTCCTGCACTCTTCTCCGTAGATGCGAGATTAAGTTTACACGTCACACATATTGTGATTTTTGCAGCCCAACTTGGAAATAAATTGTTCCGTTAAACAAATCGCCCGTCCTTGTAAATTCCCATCGGCAGAGTCACAACACCAGCCAGAAAACGTGTTCTTTTATTACATGCTGCCACTAAAATCCACCTGCTGCAGTATATCCATATCAGACAGGGTTTTTTAAAGCCTACCGAGAGACAGATGTATCAAGGCAAAGCCCGACTGAAAGGTCTCATCTGTGCCTCCAGGTTTAGCTCTAATGCAAAAATAAATTTCACACTCTTGTTTTATTAATGCCTTTTAGTTGATGGCACACCATGGGGGGAAAAAGATGAGGATGAGAGACAATGAATTAAATTTACAGCTGTCTGAGAATACGCGTCACGCGAACAAGGATAGATTGAAATGTGACTGATTTCAGCGTCTCTGAAGCAGGCGCTGTGCTCCCTGACTTTAGATTCAAATGTTGAGAGTTATATGGGATCACAAAGCAAAACGAAATACCCAAACTGTCAGCTGGAAACATGTTTACTTAAATGCATGATTTATTTATTTATTTTTTACAAGAGAGAGGCAAGAATAAACTGGATTTCCACTGAGGAGCGTTTAAAAGTATCTATTATATTATTTAGAAATCTTTAGTATAAAATGCGATCGATCCTTCCCTTGTGATTTCATAGCCGTCTCTATATTCTAACTAAGATTTTATTACAGACGCCACCGCATATCGTGCTTGGTTGTGTGCTGTGAATTTTTGCAGTTCAAGTGCTGGTTACAAGCGTCATGGCTCCTCTTTCCTCCTTCTCCCCTGCTGCACAAGATGGATTCTACGCAAAGATGGAAAACACCCCTCTCCCTCTCTGTCTCCCTCTCTCACACACACATGGTCCTCATTAACTGGGTCACTCGCAGCTTTTTTTCCCTTCTCTATGCATTAGGGTATACCTCCACAGAGTCCCTCTCTGTCTCTCACATACATGTTCAAAGGGGATTCCCACCCCTTTTTATAGCTGCGAAGTCACGATGTGTGTTATGCAGGGAGAATGGGCGTAGTCACGCGTGTGTGTGTGTGTGTGTACGTGTGTCTGTATGTTTGTGAGATGTCATTTTAGATAATCAGCTTCAGCAACCACTGTGTGTGTTTGTGTGGATGAGCGTTGTGCAGAGGGAGAGATGATAGAGAAAATAACTGTTAGTACCTGTCGAAGAAGCGCCTAAATGCCTAACTAAGACCCAGTCAGAGTTTCGTCCGATTTTCAGTCTCTCTCTGTCCTTCTGTGACTCTCTCGATCTCGATCTTTGTCTAGTGAATCAGTCTGTTGTCTGTCTCTCAGCTGCTTTACATGTCCGTTGTCATTTCGTGAGTTTCCACCCTCTCCTTCAGGCCCGCTGTCACTTTTGTCATTTTGTCTTGTTTTAGTTGTTCCTTGTACGAATACAGGATGCACGGAGTCAAACGGCGAGAGGCAAATGCAGCTTCTGCTTAATTGTAGCGACATGAAATAGCCGAGAGCACAGCCTTCTGTTTGCTACATTAGATGTGCTTTTTAATTATTGCAGAGGTTTCAAAATCTGCGGCGGTTATTAAGTATTTACGTACGATGTATTTGAATCTGAGCTTTAAAATAATATGGGGGGGAAAAGTGCTTGAGATAAAGAGAAATCATTAGAACAGACAGAATAGCACGTGTATACAAAGATGTTGGTAAATCATGACAGAGCACAGTAGACACAAAGCTATTTAAGGCTGCACTTTACCATCAAAGGTTCAGAAATAATTTATCAATGTTATTCAAGTGGAACAATGACCACGAAGGACGGATTAGTCCAAGAATCCTGTAATGGATTGGCTGTGCTTGACTAGTCTCTCCACAGGAAATCCCTCAGGATGCAGGAGGCTTCATGTGGTCACATTGTCCTTCTTTTTAAACTGTACTGTACCACAAATACGTCCTCCGAGATGTGCGCAGGATGTGAGTTCAGAGCAGGAATTTTCTACATAAATCAGCGTTGAAACGGACACAAATCACCACTTGGTTTTGTCTCGTGTTGCTTAACAATATGCACGGGTCCTTACAATGTGCGGCATGCTCTGATCTGAAGATCAGCTTGTTTTTTCAACTCTTCCTCTCTCTGTCTTTTGTCTGTGTTTTGTGGCGTGTAGAACCACAGCTGAAGGGCATAGTGACCAGGTTGTTCTGCAGGCAGGGCTTCTATCTCCAGATGGGCCAGGATGGAAGTCTGGACGGGACCAAAGACGACAGCACCAACTCCTGTTAGTAGACACGCTACACACCCACACTCACGCACACATACACACACTGGAAGACATCATAAACAATCATGTGTATATAAGGAATAAAACATCTGGAGATATTCAGTCATAGTCAAAAGAAAGTACACCCTCTTTCAAGTCTAAGGTTTTATTCATAAGGACATAATGAAAAATCATCTGTTCCTCAGAAGGTCTTAAAACTATATAAATATCATATATAATATAATATGGCAACAAAAATAATTGAGTAAAATAATTAAGTGTGCCTTCACTGCTTCCATAGGAATTAAGAAGGTCAGTATCAGACAGGTGCTGCTAATCAAATGCACTTGGTTAACTGATCATCAGCAGGTGTGAGCACCTCTATAAAAGCAGAAGTTTGGGAAGTTTGCTGGTCTGTTGCATTCAGGTGTGTGTTTATACAATACCAAGATAGGAAGGCAATGATCCCTTTCTATCAGTTGTTTTCTTAGAGAAACAACTGTTGCTGCCTGTCAGTCTGGGTGGGGTTATAAGGTCATTTCCAAACCATTTGAAGTTCATCTTTCCACAGTGAGACCAGGTTGTTCAGTAACCTAGAAAACATTCAGCATAGCCGACAGTCTTCCCAAGAGTGGATGTCCTGGCAAATCCACCCCAAGGTCAGAGCATGCAATGCTCAGAGAAACTGCAAAAATCCCAAGAGCTACATCTCAGAGTCTACAGGCCTCAGTTAGCGTGTTAAATGTTAAAGTTTATGACAGCACAATGAGAAAAATAGTGAACATGTAAGGATTGTTTGGAAGTGTTGCAGGAGAAAGCCTGTTCTCTCTAAAAAGATCATGGAAAGCATGGATTAGGTTTTCAAGATTACATCTGAACAAACCACAAGACTTCTGGAACAATGTGCTTTGGACAGACCAGACCAAAGTGAAGCTGTTTGGTCATCATGCACAGCACCACGTTTGGGGAAAACCAAATGCAGCACAAACACCTCATATAAACCGTCAAGCACGGTGGTAGCGTACTGATAATTTGGGCTTGTTTTGCAACCACAGGATTTGGGTGCCTTACAGTTATTTAGTTGACCATGAAGTTCATGGTCAACTAAATAACTTTAAATAAATTTGATTTCTAGAATCAAATGTGAGGTCATCTGTCCTACAGCTAAAGCCCCAAATCGGATGATGCAAAAGGACAAAGATCACAAGCACAGCAGCAAATCTACAACAGAAAATAATCAAGGTTGACTTGATTATAAAGCTGTGGTGGGATCTTAACAGAGCTGTTCATAAACAAATGCCTGCAAACCTCAAAGAACTGAAGCAATGTTGTAAAGAAGAGTGGACCAAAGGTCACAGAGGGAATGATTACGATTAAGTTGCTACTAAAGGTAGCTAGCTACTGAGTGGGTGTACTTTCCACACATTACTTCTGCATTTTGGCTTCTGTTAGCTGAATAATGACAGGTATGTTTCAAAAATGTTTTCAAATCATTTTAAGACTTGTTAAAGGCCATATGTTCTTTTTTATTATGTCCTGATATATAAAACCTTAAATTTAACAGAAGGTGTATTTTCTTTTTACCACGACTGTACAAACAGCCCAAATGTGTATTTCTGTTGTGGAAAACGGTGTCAAAGGTGGACAAGGCTTTTTCACAGTCTGCTCACAACAATATGTTCCAAAGTTTGTTGCAGTTCTTATTGTACAGATTAGTAGCATGAGGTGTAATGCTATTTTTATGTAAGAAGTCTACACGAAACTGCTTTAACGTAATGGCCAGATTGCCAAATTGTCACTTGTAAAGTGACAGAGTATTTTATTTGCTTTCTTACAACATCTGCTCATGGCAACTAAAACTACAGATGTGTTTGTTTTTCAGAATTTACATTATGTGGAAAAAGAGCTTCTTTTAAACTTTAGGTGGCACGCAAATTATCGTGAATGCCACACATGCCTCAATGCATGAAAAAGCATGAATTTATTTATGTGAAACCTAATTAATTATCAAAAACACACATTAATTAAAAGTATCTCATGCATGTGCTGCTGCATAAACAACACAAGTAAATTGGAATTAGACTGAATACACATTCAGTGACATCCTCTCTGAGTTTTTCAGGCTATCCATGAGCCGCAAACATTTACATGATAAATAGTTTCTCATTCGTGATCAAACTAGCATTTTTAACACAATGATTAAACATTTTATTAAGATATGTAAGAAAAGCTCTCAGTTCATGTATGTTCCCTTGTGCTTCTTGGTGGCAAAACACCTTTTTTAACATTTAAGCATCATTTGGGTCATATAGAGGTCAGAGCCATTGCTAATAATTGGCCTCCTGGACAGACAGTTGCACACTCTTGACAGATGCACGTACGCAAGGCACGTCAACCAGTATCTACAGTAAATAAGAGAGAAATGAGAGGAGCGTTTTAAACCAAATATATTTCATAGCAGTGTAAAAACTACTGACACTGTTTCTCAAGGCTGGCTGGGTATCTAGAGATGACGTGTCAATCTCTCGACCCTCATCTAATATGAAGGTTGGGGCACGTGTTTTTTTCCCCACTGTTAAAGAGGAGAGTCCATTGGGAAAGAGAGAAAAAAAGACAAGATAGATATTCAATAAATATTTTACAGTAGTTATAAGTGGTTAAATAGAGGTTCCTCAGTTTGCAAGGGAATTAGTAACATGCTCTTCAGCTTTACTGTTCAGTCACAGTGATCTGCTCACTTTATCGGACCCTCTACGCCCAACCCAGCCCCCCGGGGCAGGAGCGGCAGATGGACAGCTTATTGATTGATGTAGCTTTGTTGTAATATTCTGATGTATTGGGCTTAGAGAAAATCAAATGCTAATCAGTAATCACTGCGGCGTGCCACTCACTCATCCAAAGTGTCCTTTTCACATTGGCCGAGCCACCTGAGCTCTGCGGTCCGCCTTTTGCGGTAGTGTTCTACTTATTTACTATTATTATTATTTTTATTTTTTTTGCCAAATGTCCTCACATCTACATTAATTTATTTATTTTTAACATTTCTACCACAACGAGTCTGCAGTAAGTAGATGAGACAAAGCTTGTTGCCAAGCTGCAATTTATTTATTTATTTATTTTTCATTTGTCTGGTCAGTAACATTTCCTGCTGCATTTAAAGGGGCAGCTGTCAGCACCTCTGATCAGTTTCATGTCTTCATGTTAATGAAGGCTGTGTAATACGATGGTGGTTGACTAACTGTGGTATCTATCGAGTCTGATTCCTCGCAGGTGTGCTTGGGCATATTTCCACTGTAAATGTTGGTTGAGAAATCAACAACCATTTCTAAGCAACCTTGATTAATGAGGGCTCTGATATCCCAGGTGCAATCAGCCTTTGATTACAAAGAAAAGAGCACATGCACTGTTGTGACCTTCATTTTAGGTCATGGTTGTTTTTTTTAATGCTTTTACGCGATAATGTGTGCACTCGTTTCCTTTCTAAAGGTCTCAGCTGTCGAAAAAAATACTCCAAATGTTAGTCAGCAAGTACTGTATCTATACCTAAGGGTAAATACAGTATACGGTTGATGGATGCATATCACATCAATAGGAGTTCATTGCCTGACAGTCGTATAAAACTTTCAGCAGTTGACAGTGAAGTCTGTGGATTATCCAGAGTATCTGGGACATTGTTGTAGGAAAAACACAGTTGCTGTTGGAGGCAGAAATCTCAGAGGTGGATGTTTCGAAGCTGGGCCTCAAACTCGCAACATGAAATGACGACATCTTTAAGCTCGAGCCGTGGGACGCGGCAGCTAATCAAAAGAGGAGTCACAAACGCCCGAGACAATTATACCGGCAGCGATAGAGGAAAGCATCCGCACAATAAGACAATAATGTAAAGTCTAGTTCTGGATTCACAGAATGCAACGGAGAATGAAAAACCTAATAAAATGCTTTTTTTTTATCAGCTGGAGAGGTTCAGGTAGGTGAGAGGAAGCGAGGGAATGGACAACAGACTTCAAACTCTAATGAAACTTAGATATGTAAAATAGTATAGCTGAATAAAATCAAAGGTAGACATCATGAGTTAACAAAAATGCTGTGGATGTTAGGTTACAGCTAATCTATCACACGATTAGTTTATGTTGACCTGAGGAACCAAAGCTGTATATTACATTGAAAATATTCTCCTCTGTGTACACAAAGAAAGAAGGATTCACCTTAAACCTTGCTTGATGCTGTTTGTGTGTCGGTGCTGTCAGCACGCAGATCACACGAGTTAAATGTGGCACCACTTTAGCCGACCTCAGCGAGAGACAGAAGAATTTTAACAACCTTGAAAGGTCATAACTGCCGATGGGCGTGATTATTTTCATCTTTTCATATCCGAGGATCTAGATTAAAAAACTATATCAGAATGGAAATCGTGAGCATATTGTCTGTGATTTTTCATGCCCTGCCTTTGCGGGTTTATTTTAAAATTGAAAGATTTGCTGCTTGTGATTGTTTAACTGAAGTGACACTCAAGGCCTGATTAGGTTATTTGCTCCGTTTTTGCATCAATTTAATTTTAATCCTGATTCTCTCGCATGCAGAATCCATTACTGTCTTACTGATGTTTGTAAAGCAGTTTTGGTAAAATTGAAGTCACTCTCATAGAGCTAAGAACATAATTAGAAAGCACAGTGATAATGGAGAGCCACAAAAATGCCATAGGTTATTTCTTCTTCTTGTAAACTGCCTAAATGAATTCCTTAGTTGACCCCTCAAAGAGTAAATAATGTCATCTACTGATATTCAGGTTTAAAGTTCTGTGTATATGTTGAGTTATAATTCTAGATTATTTATCTATTATTCAGTTTAAGAAAAGAAAACAAGATAAAAGATGCTACGTGATTGCAGGAAGTGAACAAAACCACCGGTGACGCTAGCCCCCGGGCTACATGGGTGCAACCAGCCGTCTGTTTCTTTACCGTCACTGACTGCTGTTCTATTTAAATAACACTGACCGATGGAGCTGAGAGGTGGACTGTGCCTCTGGAAAAAATGAGAAGTGGCTCATATTAAAATGTTACAGAGCCCTTGGTTAAGATATCCTTATGTCCTCCACCAGATCTTTATTTTACTGGTGTTCAGATTCAGATTGAACAAACATTTTTCACTGTCCTGCAACGCTTTTAAGAAGACTTTGGTCACAAAGTCTTTTATATGTTAAGCCGAACAATGGATGATTTTTTTTGCTGCACAAATAATATTTCTTATCCAGTTATATTAAATATGTTAATAGACATGAGCACTGGTGTTAGGATAGAAGAAAAGAAATCCATCTCTCTTCTGTAAAATTCAGAATTTAAAAGCCCTGCAAGCAGCCCCACGAGACCGTGGAGGCTGCTTCACCCTTCACCAGTTGACCAAACCAACTGAGCAGTTCTGGGAGCACTGCATTTCAACAAGAGACACACAACAAGTGTGCAGGAAGCGCAAACACATGAACTGAGTTTGTCTCCTTTTGTCTTCAGCTCTGTTTAACTTAATTCCTGTGGGTCTGAGAGTCGTGGCCATCCAATCAGTTAAGACCGGTCTCTACATCGCAATGAACGGAGAGGGTCACCTTTACTCCTCGGTGAGTGCATGCACACACACACGCGCACGCACGCACGCACGCACGCACGCACACACACACGCACACACACACACACACACACAAGACACAAGACACAACAAGAAATGCTTTGTTTCCGCTTCTTTAATGCGTGCGGCACAGCACAGGGAGCTTTAACTGATTACAACCGGTATTACGGCGCTTTCCTGTTTTTTGTGCATTGGGGAGCAATGCTCAGGAGAAATTGTTTAGCTTACTTGTGGATCTGAATTTATCAATGACAACTTCTTGTGTGATTTTAATTATTGAGAACTGGACATATTATTGCTTTGAAAAAAGTCAGAAGGCTTTGCTTTGTCTGCAGGGAAACTGAGCTGAGAGATTAGTCTGTTAACTTTAGCTCCGATTAAAGTGGTAAATTACTTTGCTTGAATCTGGTCAAAAATAGTTTGGGAAATAAGCAGAGATAGTTTTTAAGGTGTTATTTCATTATTTATTCAAACTTCATATATTTATTTTACATTTGAATAATAAAATGTAAAAGAAAATTGTCACTTTCACCTTAATCGTTTAATTTGGTGGGAAAAAAATCAGTTTAAAAAGAAAACAAGTAAATATTACAGTGTTTTTTTCTCTTGGCAAGCAAACAGTAAGAAAAAACCGGAAAAATTTTTATTTTTCAAGGAAGGTAACAGGGTTATTACGTTTGCTGTGCATGGATTGGTTAAACTTGTGATTTCTTTTGTCATTTTTGCTTAAATGGCTCATCAGTTATCAAAATGAGGGCCTATTATTTCTGTGAATTACCTAATGGGCTCCTTGACTAATTTCCAGAATAACATTTGGATCTAGTGACACTCTTTAAAAGAGCCAGACGTGAAGTAAATGAATCACTGTCCGGCTAATGTGACAGTTACTTTAAAACATATATCATCACCTTCCACACTGACGTTATATTGTGTGGAAGAAACATGAGGGGATTTTTTTGTACAGCCCTGCTTAGTTACCAGGTGTAGGGACTGTTTGGACTGTATCCAGGGACCTTGGTCTTGATGTGGAGTTTTTGACTTGAAGGACACATGAGCTTATGCCGTGGTTAGGCGTTCGTTATCCATCTGTCCGTGTCACGAGAATCACTACGCCTCCTAGAGTTTTATCGGTCGTGCACACAGTGATCAACCAATGCGTCTCGACTCAAATTGTGCTCAAGGTCAAGTTTGTCATTTTACAGGCACTTTTCCATTTTCACAAGATTCACTTTTCCTCCTAGAGTATTAGTCATATTTTACTTTCACACAACAATCATCTCATGGGTCCTTACCCAAACTGAGGTCAAGCTCAAGGTCATATTTGCTGTTTTAGCTTCTGTTTTAACAGCATAACTTTCTTGCACACTACTTAGAGTTTCTCCAAATTCTCACACTTGATGTACTGAACAATAGTCAGTTGAAACCATTTAGCAAAGATTCTCAGTGTCTATGAATTCTGCATGCACATGAGTACAAAGAATGAGCTTCATGAAAATACTAAACAATGTGATAGCTTTAAATATCACTTTGCACACGTGTTGAATCCCACATATCCTGTTAGATGGTGATGAGCATGATCTTATTGGTCATGATTGTGGAGGGAGTGGTCTTATTGGTTGCCTCCCACATTAGAAGGGATGGTTGGAGGGCCTCCCTATTACCATAATCTAACATCGGTATTGGGACCAGTGCTCTGCAATGCTTATACATTCATGTATTTTCATGCTTATCATGGCTACAATGTTAAAACACTTTCCTTTGACCTCAATTTGAGTGTTTGTGAGTCCCATTGACTTAATAAAGGACTTTTGATTCTCATTAGCTTGTGCAGTACTTTTCACTTCTGTTCTGCACTTCACACATTACAAAAACCTGTGAATTGTGATAGATTGTGAGCTGTGTGAGCCACTACGTCACAGATCTTCTGTATTCTGCTCTGTGTGACGGTACACTGATTAAAAATCAGATGCAAAGATCACTAACCCAGCATGTGTTGGGGAACTTTACTGAAATCTGGCTTTAAAATATGAAAAAAACAAACATACGCTGTTGTTCTATCAAACTGGCAATGAGCTGCAGCTGATTAATTCTTAAAATCAATTAAAAAATAAACTGGAAGGCTCGTCAGAGTTTTGATTGAGAGACAAATACTGAGTCAGAGCCAGCGGTGCATAATAGCACAAAAAGCTTTTTTCATGTCAGAAGATAATGTGAAAGACCCATTTTTTAGGTTTTGTGGGACAGAAGATTGGAGACAGTTTCATTAGATAGAAAAAGAGAGAGATGAAAAGAGAGATAAATTGCTTTGAATAGATGCCAGTGAAGCATATTAGCCTGATTACAGACGAGTATGCGTTCAGTCGGTCTTTTATTATTTGATAATCGTTAGATTCTGTGTCCTTTCCAGAAGCATCTCCTTCCTGAACATAAAAAATTCAGACAATGAAAAAAAGAAAGAAAGAAAAATCTGAAAACCTTGTCGAATAATTGAAATAAGAAAGAGACATGGAGAACAATAAGAAAGACATGACAGGGAGACGGCAGAAGAGGTGAAGAGCAAGTGGAGCGGAGCAGGATGGAGGGGACGTGAGGTAGAAGAGTGGCGGCGTGAAGATGTTTGAGCAGAATATGAATTATTTCCATGCTGACTCTTCAGAGAAAGTTCAACCTCTTCCACTGACGTCCCCTCATCTGACATCACCCCTGCTTCCTCCCCTTCATTTCTTTTTTTGGTTGGAGATGACAGGAGCTGAGGAGGAGGGGAAAGGAGGTGACGGGAGAAGGAGAGAAGTAAGGAGAGGTGATGGAGAAAGAGAGAGAGAGGGAGGGAGGAGACGGGGGAATAGAAATGGATGGTAGCGGAGAGGAGAGGCAGAGACAAGAGAGATGAAAGGAGGGAAATGAAAGGGAGAGGTGAGAGGAAAAAGGGTGAGGCCAGTACATGACAGAAAAAAATGAAAGGAGGAGAGGGGAGAAGAAAGAATAGACTTGGATGTGAGGCAGAAGAAAAGAAAGTGGAGAGAAAGTAGGGCAAGGACAATGAGGAAAAGATCAAGAGGATGGAGGAAAAGGGCTGCAGACAGAAAATAAGAAAGGAGGGAAGGTGACACAGAAGAGGTGAAAATAAAGAGCATGTAAAAGGACGAGACAGTCAGGGGAAAGGAACGAGAGTAAAAGTCGTAAAAAATGACAGGAGGAGGTGGAGAGAGGAGATGAATGCGAGAAAGACAAGCGAAAATAGAAATATATAATGTAAATGTGAGGAAACGACATTGATTAAATAAGAAAGAAATCTGGAAATGAAGGAGAAAAGGGTAAAACAGAGGAAAATACTGAAAGGAGGGGACTGCAGACAAAATGAAATGAGGTAAAATGTTGTGGAGCTAGACGTGCAAAACACAAATGAAAAATGTATGGAGAAAAGGGGAGAGGATGGAGAGGGAGGAGGAAATGTTTAGGCAGAAGGGGGAAAAGGGCGAGAGGAAAAAGTTGTAAAAAAAAAGAAGAAAGGAGCAAAAACAAGCCTGTAGACAAAGGGGGTAATCGGGAAGAGAAAGAACGGAGATCTGTGCTGCTCTGCTGGGCTTTCTCAGCCTGTCGCTGAAAGTCACAGATGCATGAGGACTTCCTGTAAATAATTGAGGAGGGGGAGTCCCCCCCTGCATATACACACTCACACTCAGCATAAATCCCCTCTAAAGCTGCATAGAGGGAAAGTGAGCATGTTTGATCATTTTCCAGCTCTGTGACTGATGTGCAGACAGCTACAAGATAACAAATATATAAATTATATACAGCAGGATGGGTTTATTGTGATGTCAGCACTGCTTGATGCTTAATTGGTTGCTGCAAAGGTCTTGGCTGTTGGAGTGCCTCGCACTGGTAGTATGAACCAACCTGTAGAAATACTCATTAAATGTTATAAGGGTGCCATCACAGTTCGTTTTATCCTGCTCTGGACATGAGCAGCGATGTTTAGCTTTATGTATTTGGTAATTGGTTGTTTCAGGTTCACACTAACCAAAGAGCCTTATTTTGGACACAGTTTGGTTTATCTTTCATCCCTCTTGGCTACATAGGAATTGGACTCCAGCGCCTGCAACTTCAACAAGACATGGTGCACTTGTTTGCAGTCTGTTCTGTAACGACTTCAAGATAGACCAGCAGTCCAAAGCATTTTGCACTTGGAAGGACTTTTACATTACTGCGTGTTTGCTAGCAGGTGTAAAAACATTATCTTGTAGCTGAAGTTGTGTGAAAATGTAAGCAACCCTTTCAAACAGTGCCTGCAGAAAAAGGTGATATATTTCAAGAACACCACAAGGAAAATCAGCTTTACCATATATTAATTAAAGTTTTTTTTTAAGACAGATATCAATACTTGATGATTTTCTGATATATCGGACGATATTTTCTTTCCAACACACAAAACATAAACAGATTCCCCAAATGTGTTATATGTACTTTTTTATGAATCCTTATTGAGAATATTATCAATATAATATCAATCTATTGTCACAACTTGTGCGTTACCCCCTTACTCTTTGACAAACCCTGCTCAGGTTAGTCGGTTGTTTTTGTCACAGTGATGTGGGAGTCGACAAATTATGCAACTTCCACACTCATAACATGGTTGAAGGGTGCTTCTCCCTGCTCTTTGTTACGTTTTACATTTTAATTTATCATCTGTTATAAATGCCAACACTGATATACCGGCAAATAGCTAATATCAGCGGGGCCAATATACTGCTTGAGCTCTAATATTGACATATGGAGAATTTAAGTACATCTTTGACATAAGACTTATGTGCTTCCTGAATTCCTTTTTTTCAAGGATGCCTTCTTGTTTCTTCCATATAAAGCTTGTATTAAATACTCCACAACAATTAAATGTTTAACTATGAGCTATTCAGTAACCATCCAGTTTTTTTTTTAGACATTTCTTAGGAGAATTGTTGATTCGCTTAAGGTCGTTATCTTGTTACAAGCACC